CCAACCCAGCAGCTCATTCCCATCCATGCTGAACACGTTGCCCCTGGCCCCGGAGCAGTGTGGGAGCAGTGTGGGAGCCTCTTCCTCTCTTCCGCGCCCATCCCCGGGTACATCACCCCTGGTGCCAGAGCCGCATTGGAGCCGTTTCCTCTCGTCCACGCCCACCCTGGCCCCAGAGACATGTGCGAAATGTAGTTTGATGGGGATCCAGTGTGGACGAGATCTGGATGGCCGGTCCATGCGCGCTCATCATCCTCTTCTTCCTGGCGTGCCCACTGAGATGGCTCTGCGTGCCAGCTCTGGCACGCGTGCCATAGGTTCACCATCACTGCTTTATAGGTTGTAAAGAACTGAAAATTGTCATTTGTTGTGTTTGCAGCATATTTACTGAAATCAAAAGCTATTTCAATCAAACTTTTAACAACATTTTAACTTTTTAAACATTTGAACAGGTCACGTTACATTTTAACATAGGACCCCTTGTTTGATAGCAGCTTCACAAGTCTTGCATCCATCGAACTTCTAAGTTTTTGGACAGTTTATGCTTGAATTTGTTTGCAAGATGTCAGAATAGCCTCCCAGAGCTGCTGTTTGGATGTAAACTTCCTCCCACCCTCATAGATATTTTGCTTGCTGATGCTCCAAAGGTTCTCAATAGGATTGAGGTCAGGGGAGGATGGAGGCCACACCATGACTTTCTCTCCTTTAATCCTCATAACAGCCATTGATGCAGAGATATTCTTTGCAGCATGAGATGCTGCATTGTCATGCATGAAGATGATTTTATTACGAAAAGCATAGTTCTTCCTTCTGTACCAGGGAAGAAAGTGGTCAGTCATAAACTTCACATACTTTGCAGAGGTCATCTTTACACCTTCGGGAGCTCTAAAGGGGCCGACCCCCTCTGTTCCCATGATTCCGGCCCAAAACATGACTCCACCACCGCCTTGCTGACGTCGCAGCCTTGTTGGAACAGGGTGGCCGTCCACCAACCATCAACTAATCTATCCATCTGGACCATCCAGGGTTGCACGGCACTCATCAGTGAACAGGACTGTTTGAAAATTAGTCTTCATGTATTTTTCTGCCCAATGCAGCCATTTCTGCTTGTGAGCATTGGTTAGTGGTGGCTGAAAAGAAGGTTTATGCACAGTTGCAAGACTCTGGAGGACTCTACACCTTGATGTCCGTGGGACCCCAGAGGCACCAGCAGCTTCAAATATCTGTTTGCTGCTATGTAATGGTATTTTAGCAGCTGCTCTCTTGATCCGATGCATGGATCTGGCAGAAATCTTCCTCAATGTGCCTTTATCTGCACGAACCCGTCTGTGCTCTGAATCAGCCACAAATCTCTTAATAGTGCAATGATCACGCTTAAGTTTTTGTGAAATATCTAATGTTTTCATACCTCGTCCAAGGCATTGAACTATTTCACTCTTTTCGGCAGCAGAGAGATCCTTTTTCTTCCTCATAATGCTTGAAAATGGTGCTCTGCTTAATAATGCAGAACACCCTCCTTTAGTAGTTTTTCCTTAAATTGGGCTCACCGGCCAATCTAATTATCACAGGTGTCCGAGATTGTTTTCAGTGATCAAAAGAGCCCTGACACACAATGCAATCCATGAGTTAAACTGAAAAACAAAATATTTAATCTTTGTGACACTTAAATAGAATTTGCATAATAATTTGGAACGCGGTGTATATATATATATATATATATATATATATATATATATATATATATATATATATAAAATGTTTGGGGGTTTTAAGTAATTTTCTAGCAAAAAAACCTGATTGTTACATGTGAACAAAAAGTGCCAGAAATGGCGCGGACTGGAAGTAGTTAATGTTAAAACATCCATCCCTGTCAATGGTTCCCTGGACAGCTCCCCCACCTTCCTCTGAGGAAGGATGGCTGCTGATGCAGAAAATTTGAAATATTAGTGCTAGGTGATTCCTGTATAGGGGGACTGGCAAAAAAGCATACTAATAGTAAGAGATAGCAGAGTACCACAGAGATGATGTAACAGACCGCCTGACAGTACCTCTATCAGTCCCCTGATAGAGCCTCCCCAGAGTGCGGAGTCTAAGTACCGGAGCACTTGTTCACCAGGGCCCCTGATGGTGGGGATGGACTTGGAGCGCTCCGGGACCAGGTCGCAGCTGCTAGGTATCTCTACCAGAGGTAGAGGAGTCTGCCAAGGGCTCCAGCGGGTTAAGAGTCTGATGTGAGGGAGCCCAGGGATCCCTGAGGGATGGATGGACGGATGAGCAAAGTCAGAGTCAAACAAGCTGGGTCGGTAACTAGCGGGTCGTTGAGGTACAAGACGATAGGCAAAGGATAGTCGGGTCACACGCAGGGTCAATACCAAAAGATCAGATCTATAAGGGAACATCCGGGAGCAGAGTCAGGCAAGCCAAGGGGTCAGGACAGGAGAAGGCAACAAGGTCAGATAATCCAGATCAGAGTACTCACTACACAGGAAACAGAATACAAAAGACCATTCGGCAACAAGCATCTGTGCAGGGCTGGCTTAAGTAGCCTGCCCTGCACCTGACCGTCGCCGCCTAGGTCCCAGTGCCTGCCTAGTACTGTCGAGACGACATGTGCGCCTGGGTCCTAGTGCTCTGCTACCTGTATGTCTTGACAGACGCCTACGCATGTGTAGACCCATGCGTCGCGATGGTCCCTGACAGATGAGCTCATCACTGTGCTTCTTCTCCTTCACTGCCCAATCACTGGCTGGTACGGTTTGAGGATCAGGAAGTAAGTTGAATAATTTCAGCCATCAGAGAAAAATTACTTTGAGGAAAATCTCTTGACTGAACCTAAACATTGCAGAAAAAGCAGGTTTTGTTATTCTACCTGTTAATGGACTATTTATTTCTTACCTTGTTCATTTTTTGTAGAGTTTAGCTTTAATGAGAGTGGACCTCCAAGCATATCTATGCGGCACCAACAGGAACTGCTGACCGAGCCTGGCCATAGATAGGAAGCTGACATAAAGGAAAACCTTTTCTTATTGCTATGTTTTTCCCTGATAACTTGGCTCTGGTGGTATGAGCAGTATGGTATTTAGGGTAGCTTACTAAAATGGAACTTAGTTGTATCTGAGCACCACAAACTCAAAACACTTTTGAAATCATTTTTAATATTCAAAGCCATACCACCCATCCATTCATGTATCCATGCTTTATTTTGTTGAGAACTCAGTTTGAAAAACACCTCACTAGCATTTCTAGCCATGGCTATCTTGAGTATCGGCAGATTAAGGTCCTGGAATCCATCTGCCCTTAGCTCAGGCATGCAGGCAGGAGGGTGTGCTTAACTAAGAAGGCCCGCCTCAAGATGAAAGAAAAAAAGTTCCCATGAAGACTCCTGAGATGCATGACAACATTTTGGCCTAGACCAGACACCAGGAAGCAACTGAAGACATGTTAAAAAAAAAAAAGGTTAAAAAGTTAAATTGACAGAGTAAAAATGTCCACCACACCTTCCTATGTCAATTTACTAATGTTCCCACTTCTGGCCGGCGAAGTTCAGCCCCCTCCTTCCTCCTGCAGACTCCTGGGAACCATCACAGGTCCCAGAAGACTGCCGGACAAATGAGAATGTGCAGCGTGACTCTCGCATGCGCAGTGGGCACCCAGCTGTGAATAAGTTGTCACAGCCTGGTGCCCACAGTTGTGATGCCAGCGCCAGGGAGAGAAAAGGCAGAGAAGGGCGCAGGTGAGCACATCGCTGGACCCTGGGACAGGTTTATTAAAAGTTTTTTAGCTGTTGGCTTTTAATAAGCACAGAATGACTGGAATTCTGCTTTAAACATATAAATTGACAGAGACATTTGTAAATGACACCAACTCTGACATACAAACATTTGGTTTTGAGAAACAGTTTGTGAATCTTTTTGAATTTTCAGGATTTCTGCCTAAATCGCTCATGAAATGTAATGTAAATCTTAATAATAAATAATATTTTTTGTAGATATATTTAAGAAAAAAAAACCCACATGGTTACATTACCATATCTTTATAGAGAAAAAAATGCAGAGTCAAGGTCATTGATAGAAAAAGTCTGTGAGTCTTTTTATCCTGTAGCTTAAGATATGGCAATGGAAATGTGCTGTTTATTATTTATTGCCGTTTTGAATCTAGACTGGCAAGGTCATCATATTGTAACTATTTTTTTTTTTACTTTTTTTTCTACAACTTATTTATGCATTCATTTTCCTCTGTGCTGCGTTAGCCTTCACTTCTACCACTCTGTATGCTCTGTGCCTTGTATACAGAACATGCTTTGTGAAGTGTAGTCTGCTTTTCAGCTGTCTTTCACTCAGTGTTGACCAACAAGACTAAATAACTAAACAATGGGATGCTGTGAAGAGTAACTTAAAATGAATATGTTGTAGTGTCCAACAATCTAGGCTGATGTGAAAGTGGAGTTCCAGTCGTTTTTCTGTTTATTAAAAGTTAGCGGCTACAAAAGCTACAAAAGCTGCAGCTGCTGACTTTTAAATAAATACACACTCACTTGTCCCCGGGTGCAAGGATGTGCTCACCCAAACCGTTCCTTCCCTCCCTCTTCTCCCCCTGGTGTTGGCATCTGTGGGCACCAGGCTGTGATATCTTGCGGCTTCACTACTCATAGGCAAGTCACTCTGTGCCTCCTGAATGGTCCAGCAGTCTTCTAGGACCTGTGAAGTGTCCCAGAAGACTGCAGGGGGAAGGAGGGAGGCTGAACTGAGCCGGAAGTGGGTACCTGTCAAAAACAGGTACCCATTCTTCCACAAAAAGTGCCAAATGTGGCAGTGGAGGGGGGAGGAGGCAGATGAGCGGAGCCTCCCCTTTTGGGTGGAACTTTAACTGCCTCCCTCCCACCATATAAGGAAATGATGGGCGCACGGCAGTTCTCTCGTTCTGGGAGGATGTCATATGACGTCCTCCCACTGTAACCGCGTGTGCGCGGGTCCAGGGGCGTGCAGCGCAGCGATCGGTGGTGCACTGTGTCCCTCGGACACAGCGGATCACCGAACAATGGTAAGAGCCGAAGATGTCGGCTCGGTCATGTGATCAGCTGTGTCCAATCACAGCTGATCGCATGTAAATAAGGAAATGCCGGTTATCGGCATTTCTCTCCTCACGAGCTGTCACGCTGACAGCTCGTGAGGAGAGGAGAGCCGGTAATCGGCATTCCCCAGAGGGGACATGTACACTGATCATCAGGGCACTGATGATCAGTGTGCCCTGATCATCAGTGTAGCCCCATCAGTGCCACCTGTCAGTGTCCATCAATGTCAGCTGTCAGTGCTCATCATTGCCACATATCAGTGCCTACCAGTGCACATCAATGCCACATATCAGTGCTCATCTGAGCTGCCTTTCAGTGCCACCTATCAGTGCCAGTCAGTGCTACCTATCAGTGCTGCCAATCAGTTTAACCTATCAGTGCCAGTCAGTGCCACCTATCAGTGCGCATCAGTGCCGCCTATCAGTGCCCGTCAGTGCTGCCTATCAGTGCCACTTAACAGTGCCAGTCAGTGCCACCTAACAGTGCCAGTCAATGCCACCTATCAGTGCCGCCTATCAATGCCACCTATCAGTGCCATATATGAGTGCTGCCTTTCAGTGCCCATCAGTGATGCCTGTCAATGCCCATCAGTGCCACCTACCAGTGCCTCCTCATCAGTGCCCATCAGTGCAGCCTATCAGTGCCCATTACTGCAGCCTCTCATTAGCGCACATCAGTGAATAAAAATGTAAAAAAAAATGTTTAAAATGTATAATTTTTGGTTATAAACTAATTTGGATTTATTTTTTTTTACTAAAAAGATAACGGAATAAATTTTGGCAAAGATTTATGATGAAATATTATTTATTTGCAAAATTTTATAAATAAAACACTTTTTTTCAAAATTTTTGGACTTTTTCATTTACATAGCAAAAAAAATAAAAATCCCAGCGGTGAATAAATACCACCAAAAGAAAGCTCTATCTGTCTCAAAAAAATGATAAAAATTTCTTATCGGTACAGTGTTGCATGACCGCACAATTGTCATTCAAAGTGCGACAGCACTGAAAGCTGAAAATTGGCCTGGGCAGGAACGGGGTATAAGTGCCCTGTAGGCAAGTGGTTAAGAACAAAGGTTGGAATTGTAGGTATGATTTCATTGATCCCAGGCCATAGGAGTGACACACCGTCCACTGTAAGCTCTGTAGTGCAGGCAAGGAGGCAGAGAAAATAGCAGGAACTGGCACTGGTTCATCAATAGAGGAATCTAGCAATTAGGACAGGTTAACAGTGGACAATTAAAATGAAAGCACCACACCCCTGTTAAGAGGTTTAGATACAACTTTATTCCAATAAAGGTCAGGGGTATAAGTCAAAAAGTAGTCAAAGAGTTTTGGAGGGTCTAAGTGCCCCTTCATCAGGGCTAGAAAGAACATAAGATGATTTTCATATCAATCGTAAATAATTACATAAAAAAATGAGAACATGGGTGCTAAAAATAAATAAAGAACATTATTATTATTATTATACAGGATTTATATAGCCAACAGTTTGCTCAGCGCTTTACAATATAAAGGGAGACAATACAGCAACAATACAGTTCAATACAAGAGAGATAGAAGGGCCCTGCTCCTTGGAGCTTACAATCTAGGAGGGAGAACATAATAATAATAATGAAAAAAATAATAATAGTAACACTAACAAATGATCATCACTAATATTAAAATAAATATGAAAATGAATGATTTTTTTAAAAAAAATTGTTGTATGATTATACAGATTGTAGTATAATGTATGGTTCAATTTATATACATTCCAGTTTTGAGAGATTTTACCCAACTTTTTTTTCTCCTTTTTATTAGGTTGGCATATCACCCATAATGTATCATTTTAATAATAGTGATGATCATTATTAGCGTTATTATTATTATGTTTATTAATTTTTTAGCACCCATATTCTAATTTTTGTTCAGCACTCATGTTCTCATTTTCTGTAATTATTTTGACACTCTCATTACGATTGACTGTTCGGTTTTAATTATGACCCCATGGAGGGAACACTGTATTGATGTCAGATTGACATGAAAATCTTATGTTATTTCTAACCCTAATGAAAGGAGCACTTAGACCCCGGAAACTCGTTGGCTACTTCTTGAATTATACCCCTGACCTTTAATTCTTTTGCTACCAGGTCCGATCGTCTTACGGACCTGACAGCGGGAGGTTTTACAGCCACCAGGATTGTGTCTAAAACTGACAGGCAGACTCCTGCCTGTCAGGTGGACGCAGCCAGGTGGCTGCGCTCCCGTCCAATTGCTTCCACAGTCCCTGATAACATGCCCCCCCATGCGCAAGCGCTCCTGCTCTGTATTCCGGGCTTCACTTGCCCATCTGCTGGGGCCAATATGGCAGGTGCTGGCGGGTGGAGGGAAGAGAGGAGAGCAGACATCCGCTCTCATCCTCTACTTGCTGTGACCCAGAAAGTGACGTGTATGAAGCCACTTCCGGGTCATGGATGCCACTTTCCCAGGAGAGATGTATTGCAATGCTCACACTAAACTGACACCAAGGTGCTGGTGTGAAACGCGTTAGCTGGAGTGCTATGTTCCCTCTTTTGTATACTGTAGCGTGCCTATTTTGAATATGTCCAAATAAAGGTTATTTTATTGGATGTGCAGCCGACCGGATTTTTCTTCCTCCACTTTACATCAGTTGTCCCCATTAGAGTGCCCCATCTGGTTCCCCCATCACAGTGACACCTTACATAGGGTGTGCCCATCAGAGTGCCCCCTTATGTTAGGTGTCACCATCAGAGTGCCTCCTTACATCAGGATTCCCCATCTCATCAGGTGTGCCCATCAGAGTGCTCCTTTACATCAGGTGTGCTCATCAGAGTGCCCCTTTACATCAGTTGTCACCATCACCGTGCCACCTTACATCAGGTATTCCTGTCAGAGTGCCCCCTTATATCAGGTGTTCCCATCACAGTGCCCCTTTACATCAGTTATCCCCATCAGAATGCATAACAGAGTACTTTACATAAGATTCCCCATCACAGTGACCCCTTACATAGGGTGTCCCCATCAGAGTACCCCCTTACAACAGGTATCCCCATCATATCAGGTGTGCCCATCAGAGTGCCCTTTACCTTGGTTGTCCCCATCAGAGTGCCCCTTTACATCATGTGTCCCCATCAGAGTGCCCCTTTTCATCATATTCCCCCATCATAGTCCCCCTTTACATCGTATGTGTCCATTAGAGTGCCCCTTTCCATCACATGTGTAATCAAAGTGCCCCTTTACATGTGTAATCAAAGTGCCCCTTTTAGTATGTGACCATCAGAGTGCCCCCCCTATTCCATCACATATGTGCCCATCAGAGTGCCCCTTTTCCACAATATGTGCCCATCAGAGTGCCCCTTTAACATATGTGCCCATCAGAGTGCCCCCTTAACATAAAATGTACCCATCAGCATTCCCCTTATTTTATGGTAAGGGCACTCTGATGGGCACATTGTATGCTAAGGGGCACTCTGATGGGCACATTTTATGTTATGCTGATGGGCACATTTTCTGTTAATATAAAATGTGCACACCAGAGTGTCCCTTAACATAATATGTACCCATTAGAGTGCCCTTTAACGTACAATATGCTCATCAGAGTGCCCTTAACATGAAATTTGCCCATGAGCATGCCCCTGTAAGTATAAACACACCCTACTTTGAGGGCAGGCAGGGACTGGGAGCTGGTAAACAGCAAGCTTCAGAGGGTGGGAACTGTGCCGGGAACCTTGCTAAAGGGGACAGGGCGTGCACTTGACTTCACACCAAACCCTGTGGAAAGGCCTGCTGAGCGGAGGCATCTAACATTCTGGACTGGTGGGCTGGTGGTCCGTACGGGAGTATTGCTCGGTCTGATTTAATAACTGGTTTAGACTATTATATAGAGTTATTCTTAAAGTGTATGTAAACCCTAACAATGAACTTATTTTATTTGCTCCCTTTTGGTCTGCTACCTATACCATTGAAATAGTTTTGTTATGTCTGTTTGATAAGTGCAAAAAATATGTACGGGATACCAAGGGCAGGCATCCATCAGCAGGGATGACCAGATCTGTGTAGGTGCACTTAGGAAACTGGAATGGGACTGAGCAGGATTAATGTAAATTATATTCATGCATACAACAACAATGATCCAATGCCAACATACCATAAGCAAAGCAAAAATAAAAACTAAAACATGACATTGAAGCAAAACAAAAACACAGATCTCTGTGTACTGCGAACAGCAATCTGGCTGTTTCTTTTCTCTGAAAAGCAAGGAGAAAAAACAGCCAGATAGTAAGGTAGTAAGCACATTATACATTGTTAGGCACACAGTTAACCTTTTGATTTCCCCTAGATGTTAACCCCTTCCCGGTCAGTGTCATTAGTCCAGTGATTGTGTACAGTATTAGTACTGATCACTGTATTAGTGTCACTATTAGTGTCAGTTAGTCAGTTAGTATACCTCCCAGCCAGTATCATCTAACACCAGATTGCTTGCCACACTGTCACTGATCACCACCATAACCAGTACAGCATCATGGCAGAGTAAATTCCATTATATATACCATAGTTTGTAGACGCTATAACTTTTGCACAAACCAATTAATATACGCTTATTGGAATTTTTTTTTTACCAAAGACATGTAGCAGAATACATTTTCGCTTAAATTTATGAAGAAATTTTATTTATTTTATTTTTTTATTGGATATGTTTTGTAGCAGAAAGTAGAAAACATTGTTCTTGTCCTACATTTTCTGTCTTTTTTCATTTATATAACAAAAAATAAAAATAACCAGTGGTAATCAAATACTACAAAAAAAAGCTCTATTTGTGTGAAGAATTGATACAAATTTAATTTGCGTATAGTATTGCATGACCATACAATTGCCAGTTCAAGAAGCGCAGTGCTGAATAGCAAAAAAAATGCCCTTTCGGAGCTCAAGTGATTAATCATATCATAATTTCAGAGATGGCCTGTGCACACTTCCTGTGCTACCTCAGGTAAGCTAATCACCCTCCCAGTTCTTACCTTGGACTACAGAATAATAGTTGGTGTCTATGATGTAAAGCTGGGGAGAGTGGCAGGGTTTGAAAAGAAAACTGGGCAGGGCTGACACTACTCAGTCCATAAAAGTCCTTTTTGTTGTCATCCCACAACAGAACTAGACAGGGCTGCTGCTAAGGAGGTACAGGCAGTACATCAATATTGGGTCTGGGTCTCATCGGCCTCAACGGGTCAACAGGGGGACCCAGGCCCAACAGGGGATGCCAGTGAGTAGCCTCAATGCAGCTTTATCATGCAGGGTCCCATGATTTCTTATAGCAGCCTTGCAACCAAGGCTGCCATCTGTTTAACCACATTAGTGATGGAGGAGAAGAATCCCTTTGCTGTCTGTTCAGTCGGTCTTCAGTCATCTCCAGTAGATGCAGTGGCTAGGGGTGCAGGTCTTTGCATGGTGGT